TATGCATCTACCATAAGTACTCGAACAAAAATCAAAAGGTGTAATTCTTTTGTTTCTAATTGTTTTACGAAAACGGTTGGCACACAAATTAAGGCAACTGGAGAGAATGCAATAATGCAGGTGGGTGTAAGAAAGAAAAAAATATATTGTTGGGTAATGTAAATGGGGTAGGCAAAAATAAAATAAAGCAAGTGTAAAAAACTTTCATCAATTGACATAATGTATTTGCTTCCTTCGTTCCATTAATATTGCACTTCCTCCATTCCCCAAATTTGGGAAGTGCACAATAGTTTAGGTAGTGGGAAAGGAAAAAGAGAGAAGAAAAAATACAAAGTTGCCCATGTGATTGCAAGCATAAACTGGTAACAAGGATTAAGAGGAAAGGGGTACATTGGGTATTCAGAGCCTAATATAGAAGTGGTACCATACTTGTGAACTTTCCTTAGAAGGTAAATGGTGCAATATTTAGGTAACGGAGGAAGTATATATATAGCAACAAAATATAGAATCCACCGAAGCATTGGTCAACAGTCAATATAAAAAATTATGTACTTCTCTTCAAGGTATGACCTCAATATATGTAACAGGTAAAATCTTTCAATGCAATCTGTTGTAAAGTAATATAATGCCATATCATCTTTAATTACCTGTTGCCAAGATACGTCTTTAAAACTGCCAAGAAAAACTAATCCACTAGGTCAACGCACTATTTCATCTGTTTCATCTGACTAGGTTGTTCATCATGGCTCCTAGTGCAACGGCCATCCACACTGCTCTCTGCATTTAAGTTGATGTGGGATACACACAAAACATCACATGAAACAGAAATTTTTTCAATAGCCACCTGCACCTCTTTCTTGCAACACGTAGAAAACACCCTTAAAGGCCTCCCGACAATGGGTGCACAGATGACCTATACAAGTTGACAATTAATGCTGAAATCAAGTTTTCAACCGTGGATTTTTTTCCTTTATTTGGTCAGATATAGAGCGAGTAAGAAATGACATAATAAATGCACAATTATCTCATACACATTTTTAAAAAAATAAAAAAAATAAAAAATTCTGGGATTATATAAAGCTCACATGCATTGAGCAAATCACTAAGTATGGTAGTAGACTAAGCTTTCTAATCACTTACACATTCTTAACTTCCCCATCTTTCCCCGTTGATCATGACTCGCAATGGTCGACCCATTCAACCAAGACAAATATTTATAGCCCGATTTTCTTGCAGACAATGTCGCTTCACCTCAGTTGATATTGAGGGAATCAGACATCATGCTAACAGTCATATGTTAGAAGCAACAATTAACAACATCCACAACCAACGTCAAACAGAGCAAACTCGGCAACTAAGAGAAAGGAATCTGCTCTTCAATCCCTTCCGTCAACTACTTCCATCACCAGCCCAGCCAGCGAGGAGAATTCCTAGAAGCAACAGAATTCAGATGCAGAGAGGAACACCAGGTTCTGAAGAATGGAGACCTGTTCAGACCCAACTGGTCCAAGCAGAGCAGCATATCGCGCTACAAGAAACAAGCAACGCAAATTTAATGCCCTTGATAGATCAGCTTGACCATCCCATCCCAATAATAATAGATCTTGATAGCGACCAAACTGGTGATATAGACCAATTTGATCTCACTTTGCGACTCTGAAGACGCATATGGATCCAAGGTGGTGAGACTCGTGACAGTAACATTTTCTTTTTCAGTAGTTGTCTAATTTTCATATATCTTTTTAAGATGTGGCTGCATGCACATCCCATCCTCTCTTGTCATTCCGGTGACAGAAGAAGATGCCCATTAGCCGTTTCTATTTCTAGTACTTTGTTATCCGTATGTGTAGCTCAAAGAGTCATTGAGTCTCCGGACATGGCAAATTGAAAGTGTTATCTACCTATTTTAAATTTTCATGAATTCAGTTATTCATTAGTCAATTCGTGTTTAGCAAAAGTATAGTTGTGGAGGTAAGTTTTAGTTGCTAAACTAGCTGTTGAATAAACTAATTTTTTTCCCTAAAGGTATAAATTAAATTACCTTATGGGACGTATCTGGATATGAATGTTCAATAAACTAGCTGTTGAATAACTGTTACAAATAAAATTAATTTTTTTCCCTAAAGGTATAAATTAAATTACCTTTAAAAGCTACCTCCACCACTAAAAGCAACCCCAAGGTCCCAAACTAGTACACTGTCAAACGCCCAATTTTTTTATCAAGTAGCGGCGGGTTGAGGTTGTAAAAAAAGTACATATTGTTGAATATCCGGATATGAATGTTCAATAAACTAGCTGTTGAAAATCTACTCAAACGATACCTCTACCACTAACCGCTACCAGAACCAGTACCTTACCGAACCCCTTTTAAGTAGTGTTTGAACTTGGTCAAAACACTAACCAATACCTCAAACACTACCACCAAACAAGGTCTAAAACTCATACAATGGTCAAAATGTTAAGAGCTGAAATAATTCGTTTCTCCCTCACTTGTTTATACAGTAACTACCATAAGGACTTTGAGAATTTTATAGGGTGTATATGTGGTGTGATGTGTTGGGAAATTAAATACTAGTGTATGAGATAGGAGAAATAATAAAGAACGTAGTATTGGGGACCATGAGTAGGGTAACTATATATATATATATAATACCTTCGTTTTTTATTTATTGCACCACTTGCCTTTTAAGGAAGTTTCACAAATATTGCAACATTTCCATTGTAGGAAACAAAATATCTCTATTCACTACAAATACCCAATATACACTTACTTTTGTCACTTGATTTTTTAGTTTATGTTTACATCACATGGATAACTTTATAATTTTACCTCTCTCCCTCTTCCTTTTTCCCACTCCTAAAAAAAAAAAGTGTGCCAACCATATCCCTTAATGTTTGCCCCTTTTTCCTTTTTTAATTCATCCCTTAAAATTTGCCCCATATTAAGTTTGGGTGTAGGGACTTCTTTACTCTCACAACCACTCTATTAACCCCCACCACTTTTTGAACTCATAAATTTCAACAAAAAATTTAAAAAGTAATGATTCCCCAATGGAGCAAATAAAGGGGGATAGAGGGAGTAGAATGTTAACCATATGTGCTTGCATAAATTTCAAGAAGAAAAGAAACAAGAAACTGCTTGAAGCGTTACGAGATTGTCAAACTTAAGGCTATAAGTAATCAATAATAAATAAACTCTCAATATCAAAAACTTAAAAGAATAATCTAATTATTCTCTTGGAAATTGTACTTATTTTAAACATTCAATTTAATGTAAGCCATTTTACAGGCACAAAACTAAAATGCAAAGCAGAGAAGAGAAAACTACGCATGACCGTCCAATCACTGAAAAAGTTTAGAGTGGTAACAGTATATAAACATTAAATGACTTGACGACTTTAGTTGTGATCTATTTTCTCCTTAAAGCAGTTAAAACATCCCTCCATCCCATTATTTTTCTCTTTCCAAGCAAGTCGCAATAAGGAGGGGCCAAACTGAATCAATGGTCAGCCTAGCAAATATTGCCATCTGATGGGCCAAGCCCACAAGACAACCACTAGTTAGGTTAATACCCACTACAGGTGAGCTAGCATCAGCATAGAAATCCTTATCATATGCAGTACTAAACAAAACGATACAAAATAGGGAGGTACCTTATTTAACATTTCATGTCATTGCAGATTTAAACTTGAGTTTAGTAATTTGTAGTGCACTAGTGCCCATTTCAGGACCTTGGCTACCTAGAATAATAAAACACCCTTCAATATAAAAAAAATTACAGAGACTGACATGATGACATCATTAAAAACAGTGACTGAAAAGGCTTAAGTTACAGAAATGAAAAGGGTGCACGCAGAGAATTCGAATATGGAGAACAAAATATGTATGCATTTGACTGTGGCAGACACATTAATCAAGAGAGAAGAATGCCCAAACCCAGCCCAAAAGCCCCAAACGGCCCAATAGTTCGACTAGAGAAACGTATCAAGCATAAAATAAATTAGTCATTGCATAAGAAAGATATGTCCATCTTACAAAAGTAAAGCAATCAAATCAAGGCACTAGGGAGTTTACAAGAAAAGAAAGGATCATTCCCTTTGCAAATCAAGAGCATGACTAACTATGAATGGTAGAAGATTGTATTCTAATTACTCAAACTAAAATGAAAAACACGATGGTACTTTCAGGGTATTAGGAAAAAGAAATGATACAGTATCAGTCACTAACATAAATGATTACATTAATCTGAATAAGGAAATCAGCCAAAATTGACACATCAAAATCACACATATTTATAGTGACAACAAGTGTCAACATTTGCTTTTGTAGAAGACTTACGAATGATGGGCCATATTGCTTGAAGATTATTAGTATCTTTAACTGACTTATAGATACAATTTTTGCTGAAATAGTGTTCTAGGTAAATTAAACAATAACTAGGTAACAGAACTCTCATCATGGATGCTATACATTCATTTTAGAGATGGTGGCCATAAAAAAAGCTTGTCTTGTAAATGCTAGATGCAAGGGACAATATGAAAAACACACTTAAGGAGGTAGCACAGGAACATAAAGCAAGTAAAATACTATCAAAGCCCTCAAATTTTGTTAAGAAAAATACAAATAAAACCATTAAAGACTAAAGCAAATTTTCATAGTCATAATTTCCGCTCAAAGAGTAAAGGCTATAAGAGCTTGACTCCCGAATACAAACTAATTACTCAAAAATTACGATCAAATACGCTTGTAGAGAATTTATCGCCAATAAAGAAATTGTGATCAACCCCGTGTTTATGACATAACTTTTTGAAAAAAGACCCATAATGATGGTTCATTTATATAGTGTGATCAATTTAATTTAAGCAACAACTTGGAAATTATTTATACTCTATACTTACTACTAAAACAATAACAAAAGCTGACATGTGGAAACCTCTCCTTAATTTTTTTGCCTAAATCATTTCTAAAATATTCTCTTTCAAGGAAAATAATTTACTAAAAAAATCCTCTTTGAACTACAAATCTAAGATAATCTTTATTATTTTTGTTCTGTTCAATTTATTTTAAATATTTAATATGAAAATGAAACCAAAAAAAAAAGTCATTTTCCTTTAAACAATATGCCAACCTTAAGTCAAAGAGTAGTCCCATAATAAGCCCATTCCTACATTAAAAAATGTGACAAAACAGTTCTTCACATTTTAAAATAGTATATGCAGCTATTACTTCCAGATGGAGGGAATAATAATATTATAATAGGATTAGAAGCCTAAAAAAGTGAGTGTAATGTTACATTCTATAAAATTTGTTGACTATACTTCAGCTAAAGTAGCATGTGTAGCTTGGAGCCTTGGACATAAAAAGGTTCTTAAAAACATAAAGAGGATTGCTTAGACGTAGGATTGTAAAGTCGGCTGTAATAATTAGTTGTTGGAACGCAAAAGAAGCACCCACTCCCCAAATTTAGCTTTTAGAAACTTAGTTTGCAATGTGATTAGCTAGATGCCACATTATTAGTAAGAATTATGGTTATATATTTACGCAAAAATTGCAAAAGGAGACAATTGCATAATATGTTGTCATTATGAGTTGTTTTCAAAAAAAAAAAAACATGTAATCTTATAAGAAATATACACAAATTCTATGCCTATAAATAATAGAAATTAAAGTATATGAAACAAAAATAGGTTTAATAGTGTCAATAAATTAGTACATTCTCTAATTCTCCACTAACTTAAGCTCAGGTTCTCAAATATTTTACAGTACCACGAGTCCAGACACGGATTTGATGTCACAAAAATTTGAGTTTTATGATGGCTGGCGGGGATTGATCTCGTTCAATGTTGGTTGTCTAGAATAGAACGGCAACCAATATTAGTGCTTATGTCAGTCCAAACAAGAAAAGGAGGACAGCATTATTCCATTTATTGCAAATTAGCCTAAAAAAACTTTCCAAATGCAGGCTGCTCAAACTAGTACCCAATAAGAGATATTCATGATTGATAAACCTGCACACCACATACACACTGATCTAATTCAAAATTTTGCAGTAACTGTGTGCACTAATATTAATCTAAGGGAGAAAAAGATTAGCATATGATAGAAGCCATGAAACCACAACTAACTTTTCTAATTACCCCTCAATAACAATTATACCTTCTTATACACTATATAGGTCCCCCAATAAGCCTCGCGTTAGTCTTAACCACATCAAAGAATTATAGTATCTCAAATTCCATAAACCTTCAGTTGCACACGTAATGTCATAAATTTAAAACCCTAGTTCCAAACTGTACTAAAACTCAATCAAAATGTATGCCCATTGCCCAATCATAGAGAAATTACACAACATATTTCCGACATCAACTTAATACCTTTTCCTTACAAAAACAAATTTACAAGAACAGTTGTGCATACAATTCACACAAAACATTAAATACAAACGAACTCCGATTGTAGTCTATATTTCAACATTGAATCAAGAAAAGTATGATTAAATCACACTCCAAACATAAGTTTCATAATGAGTGAAACAAACAGCAACACAACTTTACAGCAAAAGAATAAATCTGGAAGATTCAAAACAATTTTATATGATTTCATGTACTTTATAAATCAATAAATCGGGAAGATCAAAACAATTTGTGTATGATTTCATCATGAAAAAAATAGTACTTCATACAAAAAATAACTGAAATTACAGAAAGGAATTATAATTTGAAATATTGTACCTTGATGGTAACCTTCCTCTTAAGCCTCTCTCGAGCCAAGGCCTCAAGTCATTGACTGCTACCTTAACCGGAATAACGGCAAAATCTAAACAAGTGAACAACAACCAAGCCTTAGTCCCAAAATTAATAAATAAAAATAAAAACATTTATTTATATATATATATATATATATATATATATATATATATATATATGGAAACAAACACCCCAAAAACTCAGTTCAATGAAACATAAAAGAAAGAGGAGCTCAACCATCGCCGCGTCGTACTCAAATCTTCTGATCATTCATTACCAGCGACGGATTTTGAGAAATACCCAAATGATCGTATCTACAAAATCCAAAACAGAATTAATGAAATCCTTCGTCTCCTTCAACAAATCAAAGTAGTCAAATCCAGGGAAGGAGGAGCAGGGAGATAAGTGCCAATTTCATAGTTTGATTCTAAAATTAAAGGGTTTCTGCAACCCATTAACAATCAATTTTGATTCAATTATCAAATTAGACTCATAAAATTAGAAAGAAAGGATTTAATTTCATAGCTCCATCCTAATATTGACGAAAAAATTTATTCAATTATCAATTTAAGCTCATAATTTTCTTCTTTAGAAACAAATCGACGAGTTTAGTAATTGATAAAAAATGGTTCAATAATCGAATTTAGAAAAAAAAAAAAAAAAAAAACCCCTAAATTGAGTATAGTGAGAATTAAATTAACGACGAACCCTAGATTGTGAAATTGAAATTCGATGAATAATAAGAAAGGAAACAACGTGTTACCTCAAAAGTAATGCTTCAATGGAAGATAGAAATGTAAGAAATCGCCTAAATAGAGTGCTCTTCATTGGGAAACAAGAGAGAGAAAGAGGATATAAGGATCTGCCTTAAAATCAATATTTATCTATTCATTTTACTTCGTAATGTACTTAACAAGTAAATAAATCATGATCATCTATGAAAAAATAGTTGATTATTGTTAAAAGGAACGCCTCCACAATAAGTAGTTTAAAACATATACCTAAATATCACGCATTGATAGGTGTAATTAGTTTTTATTTTAATATGATAATTCTAACGATATAATTATTGTTCATTTTAATATGATAATTCTACTTTTATTATCTTATCCAACACTCCCAAAGCGTTTATTAGCTTTTGTCTATTGTTAAAACATTTAATACTGAGTAAAAAAAAAGAAAAATTTGCAAATTGCAGCCATTTAAAGTTCGTATTTTGCAAATTACAGTTATTTAAATTTTTTTTTGCAAATTGCATCCCAAAAGTTCGTATAAATTGTTAATTGCAGCCCGATTCAATTTTTTCATCGGTTTACATGTTGAAAAATCTTCGGCTAAGGTTTTAAGGGTCATTTTAGTCCTTAGGGTCCCGAATTGAGCTCGGAATCAGCAAAAAAAATATCGTAAGTGTCTCATATTTATAGTTTCCCACAAATCGATACATTTTTGTTACGCAAAACGAGATACTTATGTTATTTTTTTGCTAATTCTGAGCTCAAAATGGGTGCCCTAAGGGGTAAAATGACCCCTAAAACCTTAGCCGAAGATTTTTCAACATGTAAACCGATGAAAAAATTGAATCGAGCTGCAATTTACAATTTATACGAACTTTTGGGCTGCAATTTGCAAAAAAAATTTAAATGGCTGCAATTTGCAAATTTTCCAAAAAAAAATTATACATAATTGGTTGCAAAACCTTATACGGAGTTAAAAAAATAAATATATATAAAAAAAAAAAATAAATAAATAAACCTTTATTATGTTGAATTCCTATCACTATGTGCACTTAGGTGTACATAATTGTAAAACTTTATTATATTGAATTCCTATCTCTATGTGCTTTCATGTGTACATATTGTAAAACTTTATTATGTTGAATTCTTTATTAACAGCGCCTTAAAAATTAAAAAATCAAAAAATCAAAAAAAAAAAAAGGAGCGAAGCTCTAACCACTTAAATTATCTTCACTCTCACATTTTCTATCAATTTTCTACGTATTGAATATGTGTATTAAGTGATATCCCGTCAAAAGAGGAAAAAAAAAATTGTAAGCAATATCTTATTTTTATTTTGAAAATATATATTACAAGGTTGGGATCCAGTGAGAAGAATATTAAAATAAGAAGGAACAAATGTGCATATATTTTATATTATACATTTATACAAGCTATGAGACACAAACAATATAAAATCTATCATGTTCAATTTTATTTTATTTTTCCCTAAAATATTATCCTCCTTATTCTAATAAAATAAAAGAAATTTTATATATAAAAAAAAACACCTTTTATAAGCATTTTTTTTTACAAGAAACCACTTTATAAATTTTTTTTGCAAAGACACACCTTAATCAATTTTTTTTTGCAAAACCATACTTTTATGCCGGAAAATAGAGTCAAACCCTATTTTCCGGTGTTGACTACGCCATTTGCACCCACGAAACTGACAGTGGAGGGGAGAAGGGTGGCTAAGGCTATAGAGGAGGGTTTAGGGTGGTCAACGTCGTTAAAGGGGTGTGTTTAGGGTGGTCAACGCCGGAAAAGGGGGTGTGTTTATGGTGGTCAACGCCATGAAAAGGTGGTTTTGTGGGTGGGGCTTAGGAGGGAGGTGGTTTCGTGGGTGGGGCTGGGGAGACAGGTGGTTTCGTGGGTAGATTGGGGTAGTCAACGCCGGAAAATAGGGTCAAACCTCATTTTCCAACATAAAGGTATTGATTTGCAAAAAAAAAAAATTGATTAAGGTGTGTCATTGCAAAAAAAAATATAAAGTGGTTTCTTGCAAAAAATTACTTATAAAAGGTGGTTTTTTGCAAAATTTCCTAAAATATATATATATATATATATATATATATATATATATATATATATATATATATATTGTTGATAAAGAAAAAAAATAAGTTAGTATATGTTATCAATAAATTTATGTTGATGAAGTCATGAAGGCCAAATAATAGGATATGACTTCTTTTCAAAAAAAAAAAAAAAAAAAAGTGATGGTAGTTATTTTAAGTGGTCACACGGTGTGACCGGCCGCACATAAGACGAGCTAAAAGAAGAAATAAGAGGGGTAATTTGGGGATAATGAAATTTATCAACCAAAAGGCCATTTCATTTTATATATAGGATGTGCAAAAACAAAAATTATGCACATTTGTTAAACAATTATGCATAGCAAGGAAAAAATAATATATACTGGCATCTTATTTTTATATACAAGGAAAATATTTACTAATTTTATATTAGATGTCATATGTAGGTAGGAAACCAAATAGCAAATTAACATTTTCAGCATATTATCAATTTCAAGTATTTCACTAATAGTTTCATGATCAGCCATTTGATAACAAACATTATTAAAAGCATTGAAAAACTAGATAATCTAATTCTAAAGGAAATGCATAATTACATGTAATAACCAAAATCATTTATTTAATTTCTAAAAATGATTTTTTTTTTTATTATTTTCTTCTTTTTTTTTTAATTTTTTTTTTTATGCCATCCATTGTCAATCAACAAGCATACTTTACTCTTTGCAAATTGCACTAATACTTGTAAGACTTAGGTAGGACAACATTGCATGAGCCTTAGAGTACTAGAGTGCTTGAATGGTATTGTAGATTTGTAGTACATAAGGCTCACATCTTGATCATACGGCGACCATAATATCACCTTAATCGGTGACACACACACACAAAAAAAAAAAAAAAAAAAAAAAAAAAAAAAAAAAAAAATCCAAGTCTGAAACAAAATTCTCATGGGTCATCATCTTCATATCTCTTCACCATATGTCTTGATTAAAAGCCTTATTTACGATAATGCTTTATTTTTTAAGCATGGGAGTTATTAAAGGCTAGTATGCCATATGTCCTTTAATTTGTAAATAACAAACAATCTTCACCCATCAAATTTCTTAGATAAAGAGAAAAACAATGGACACCCACAAATTCTAGCTAGTTTTTATTCAATGGTTAGGGGTAAATGTATTATTTAATTTCCAAATCGCATATCATCTTATTTATCTCATATATCATGCATCGTAATATATAACACAATTGAACCTAAATTATTTCAAAAACAATAGTTGAACATTGCCAACAACATATAAATAATACTATAGCTAGAGGGGATTTTTAAGGCTTTCACAAATTTAAATAGAATTTTAGATAATGGGAACATTGTTAATGAGGCAAGCATCAAATTTCTTGCAAGAAAAATATAAAGCTGCAAGATTGGCATTAACTGATATATCTGAAGCTGAATTGTAAGTATAAATTTTTTAATTTTGTTAAATTTTACAAAAAATGACAATAATAATAATAACAATAATAGTACTCCGCAATATTAATAACTAACTTTTTAAAATTATGTAGCTTGTTTCAGCTACGGCTGAGTTGGCTACACACTCCAATTAACAATCAAGATCTCCAATCTACTAGGAGAATTTCAAGTTACAATATAAGATTTTTTTCCCATTTATTTTAAAATAATTGACATTAGTCAAACTTGTCGCATATATCATTGTATGAGTTTGACCATACTTATATATTTAATTAGACAGTAATAAAAATGATTAAAACGTTAATAATATGTTATTTATGTATTAAAAAGTTATAGCTAGAGTTATTAGATGGATAGTAAAAAAAAAAAAGTGTATCAATTATTATGTAATGGAAAGAGCATAGTTTTTTCAAAAGGAAAATTACAGTAGAACAGTACCATTGGAGTTTCAAGCTGTGCATTGACACACGTGCAGTCGAACTGATACATTTATTTAGATACGAGGAAGTGATTTGCTTGAATACATTAGTTAACTTAATATTAAGTATATCTTTTTCAATTCTCTTCAAGAAAACTTATACTCCATGTTAATGCAATCACAAATCATATATGACGGTGAATTAATTTTTCATGTTTAAATTTACATTTAAAAAGGTTAGTAGAAGCAGTTACAGATGATAATCCATGGTGTCCTGATACCAAGACCATGGCTCAAATAGCCGAGGCAACCTATGATTTTGATGGCTATTGGAAAATTGTTGATCTCCTTCACAAAAGGTATGATAATAATTACTAGTAACTAAATTGTAAAAAATGGTGAACATTTATATTATTCATATACATTTTTTGTTTACCTTTTCATGAGCTTTATAACATGTGACATGACTTTATCAATATAAATATCAATTGCATTTTAATAAAATGAATAGTTAAGATTTTATGTTTAGATCTACACATATAAAAGTAACTTTAAATTAAATCTTATTTTATCACATAGTATGATATAAAAATTTCATATTATTTTTTTAAAAAAGCTTTAAAAATAAAAACACTTAATTACATAGGTTATACAATAATACACACATTGATTAACTGATTAGGACATACAAGAATTTGAAAATTGGTTGAAACTCATTAACAACTTAAAGGATAGCTAGTACAAAGTATATATATATATATATCAAATTTTCTCAACATTTTTATAGAATATTAAAGCAATTTTTTTTTTTTTTATAAGAAATATTAAAGCAATTTTAACTTATACAAATTAAATGTGCAGGTTGTGTGATGTTAATTGGAAGAAATGGAGACAATCTTACAACTCATTGATATTGCTGGAATTTTTAATAACACATGGTCCTGAGGATTTTGCAATAGAATTTAGAAGTGATGTTGACGTTATTAAGGAGTTGGGAACATTCCGTTACATAGACAAAAGGGGGTAATTTTCTCATATGTACATCCATCCCTCCTGCCCATATGCTACAAAATATTTTGTCCCTTTTATCGAACAATATTACAATAAATGATTGGATGGTTATAAAAAATAACTTACGTACTCGTACATTATATACATAATACATTTGTTTTGTACTAATTACAACACTTTTAGTATTGGACTACTAATGTCTAGCTAGAAACCATTATACATATATATATAACTTTTCATTTTTCCGTTTGGATTTCTCTTATTGGAATGGATTGAAAAGTTTTGATTAATTATATATCATTTTCTTGGCTACATAATACCTTGTATATTAAATCATATTCTTATTATTTATCTAGCTCATGCATGTCAATGTAGATATATGCATCTTTTTTGGTCATATAAATATTTTTAATTTTAGAATATTGTCTAATTGATAATGATATGATGATAATACAATATAATTGAACCACATTATATTGTACATTTTAAATACAAGAACAGTACAAAATTGTAAAAGGTCACTAATGTTTTCAATATTGTAATCATTGTAGGGTGAATTGGGGGCATTACATGAGAAACAAAACAGAAAGAATTTTAAAATGTCTTCAAGGAGGATCATCACTTCAAGAAGTTCGATCCAAGGCAATAAAGCTTACAAATGAAATCCAAGGATTTGGAAGTTCATCATCATCTCCTTCATCAACCGCATCCCCAACAAGCTCATGGCGATCATCATTTGAATCTAGTTCTCCTTCAAGTCCTACGTTATGGCATGATGACATTACAAATTACAAAAAATATGGTGAAGTGAACAGACAACCCTTTAATCGACAACAAGACTTGCTAGAAGTTAATTCTCCGAAAGAGAATACCTATCAACATAAAATGCTTACAAATTTCCTTATTGATGATAGAGACATATTGGGTTGGAATTCAATCGAAGAAACTTTCACTGAAATTGATTTGAATGATGACTATGAAGATCGAAATAAGAAAAAAGTAGGATTCTTCAAAGGAATTTACGGGAAACATGTTGGTTATAGCCCATTGAAGAAGGGAAGTGAGCGAAAAAAGAACACTTGACTTGATAACTATATATTAGCTAAGAACTTCTTCAAGAGTCAAATAATTGAATTAATGAATGACATTGCTTGATAATCAATCGATATATTACTAGATCATAGATTCAACCAATTAATCATTTGTTATAATGCTTGAATATGTAATGGTAGTAATTTAGCTATATGAGAAAGTTATGATGAGGGGTGATCCATTATGATTTCTACCATTATGATGTCATTTAATAATACATAGTATGTACTTGCATGCGTGGTATGTAATAAAATTTATGTGTTATTAACATGGTTGATATACATATTAAATAATGAATGAAATTCATGAGATAAATGCATCCTTACCTAATACAGAAGCCCAAAATTGTACACTAAGGGGCCTGTTCTCATTGACTGAACTCAGCTAAACTGACTGAACTGAGCTTAATTGAACTGAACTGAACTGAACTGAATATTTTATAAGAGAAGGAAATTAGGAGCTGAATTGAACTTATTAGAGCTGAATTGAAATGAAAATAATCGTATGAGAATAGGCCGTAATTCAAGTTGATTATGGGATCACACTGATGGACAATAAACAACTCAATTTGTGCCAATTCAAATTCACTGTCCAAAAAACTCAAACCACATATCAAGTACAAGGCTAAAAGTCTAAAACAAATCAACAACATCTAATTTTTAACGTGACCATTGTAGTTTTTATCAAATTTGTAAAAAGAAAATCTCAAAATTAACAATGAATATAGCAAAAAAAAAAAAATTATTAAAAACTTACAACTAAAGACAATGAAAGAGATATGAGACATGGAACCACTGCAAAAATATGGAATAAATTGTAGCTATAAGATTGTTTGTTTGTGTGCAGCGTAAATGCGGGACAATGGACCATTATAAATTCATCATACTTGTTAGTTGTCTTATTTGAAGAGAAATAAAAGATGGACTAAATTTATTATTGGACCATTAATATTATTTATATGTATGATGATGGTGAGTTGTGATGGAAAATTTGGAGTATTACATATGAAAGATGAACCTAAACTAGGTTGATATATGTTTTGGTTTTTCTGCCTTGTTAGATTTCTTTTTAGAGGGGAAAAAGGGCCGTTGGTAGTTGCTTTTACCTACCCGACAAATAAAATAAGATAATGTTAAAGCATGAAATAATAGTCTTTTTAAGATTTTTTTTTTTTTTTTTAACTACACATTGAGTGCAAGGAATACCATATACAAATATATCCCAAAGCGTTTTCTGTGTGGGTGAATGACGGTCTTACACATAACAACATCATGGTTGATTAACTCCTAAGCAACTGAGTAGCCCCTAACTAATCGAGTAATCTTAAACCGACCGCGTAACCCCTGACTAAATAACCCTAGCCACACGGTGTGGCCGGCTATAAAAAAAACTTGGTGAATATATACACACGATATAGCTAATTTAAATTCAAGAATATCAACCTCATTTATCAACCTCATTTCACATCCTTAGCTTGATTATAGTTATTATGTCATGTCTTCATTTTAAAATAAGTGCACGTTTATGTGTAAAGTTTTAAACAAGTGAATTAAAGTGAAAATAATATTCGTAGGATTAGTAAGATGAATAAAAAGAACAATAGAGGTATATTTCTATCCAATATATTGATGCAATTATTTATTCAAAAACGGCTAAATAAGCTAAGGCAATGATGCAATTATTCATAAAACGGAGGGAGTATAACTTGACCAAATTCTTAAATACTTTAGAGTTAATTAATTTATTATTTTTATTAATTTAAATCTCTTTATAGGATTTTTTCCTACCCAAAAAAAAAAAAAAAAAAACACTCTTTATTAGGTTTAGACTTTAGAGGTTTGCAAATTGTGTTGTGTGGAGCTTTGGACATTTCATTTTTTTAATTTTATGCCAATAATTATTGTAGGTTTATTTTTTGATGCAAATTTTTAACTTGTAGGTTTATGCTACAAGTACATAATTTCTTTTCCGTGATATAAAATTCCAACAAATCAATTAAATTATTCTACTCCGTACTAATTATTACTCGTACAAGGAATTGAAATACATAATAAAGTACTTGTAATAAACTAATACTGGACTTCTTTCAAAAAAAATAAAAAAAAATAAAAATAAATAAAAAATAGCACTGTAATATTTTTGCTAACAAATTATAGAAGCTATTTATTTATTTTGTTTAATGAAACATTGCATTTATTTCTACACTGTAATAAACGAGTATGATGATACTAGTGCCAATAATATGAGTCAAGGGTGTAGTTCAGTAGTTGAATATAAAATTAATAACGATTAAGCAATATATAATTTGGTACATATCTTTCGATTGATCTGTCAATTAATTAAACAGTTTAATACGAATTGAGCATGAAGTTGCATTATAAAGATCATGATCTTAATATCTCAATTAACAGAGGTACCATATTATGTTCTAGTGGTCCCATTATATATTCAACAATAATAATGTCACTAATTATATTATATACTACTTGCATATTGTTTTAATTTGTACCTTTAAATTTTGATTTGTATATATGTGAATATGTGATCGCTTAGAAGATGGCTGATCAGACAATGTAGACCTTTTTCTAATATTTCTTCAATTATTAATTATGGAGTACTATATAATTTATTTATCAATATTAATTTTCGAAGCCATGGAAGTAAACATGTAAGTAGTTCATGGGACTTATCTGTGGTCAAACATTTTTAGATTTCAATTTCTTACTTCGTACCTCGATTCGAGTTTTAAAATTAAAAAAAAAAATTATGAACAATATTCTTATTATACTAATATGCATTTAATAAAAATAGGCTGCCAACTTAAGATATAAAAAGATTTTTAAATTTGAGGTTAAGGTTATAGAGTAGTGGCAATTGCTATGTACTCATATCTTTTTAAGGTCTAAGGATCAAATCTCATGAAACTCATTTAAGAGAATCCTTTATTTCTCCCCAAATGAGACCCTTTTTTCTTACCAAAGAAATAAAATGTGTTCTTATTTTTCCTTTTTTTTTTAAAAAAAAGTGTTTTTTATTTTATAAAGAATGTAAAATGATCTTTAATTTTGATGTATCAAAATGAATTAGTAGAACCATGGAATACATTTTTTTTTTCTTACCAAAGAAATAAAATGTGTTCTTATTTTTCCTTTTCTTAATTTTTTTTTAAATGTGTTTTTTATTTTATAAAGAATGTAAAAAATAAAATGATCTTTAATTCTGATGTATGAAAATGAATTAGTAGAACCATGGAATACAATTTTTTTTTTTTTTTTGAAGAGGTAAGAAAAATTAAACATTAGGAAGCCTTTTTCACAAGGAAAATTACTAATGTAAATAATAAAAAAAATATAGCCGTGGAATTCATATACGTAGTATAATAAAATGTTTATTATACAAGTACTTGATATTAATGATGTCGAGGTAATGGAATAGTGACATCGCTTTCCATTTCATTAGGTCTAAAGATCAAACTTTATGAAATTACTTGAGAGATTATATAGCAAAAAATAATTTTTTTTAAATTTTTTTGAAAGATTTTCCTTATAAAAAAAAGATACATAAAAGCTCATACTGAAGCTTTTATAAATACTATGTGATTTTACCGCCTTTAATAGCATGCACTCCGTGTTTATTGTAAGGGTTTTTTTTTTTTTTGGAAATGTACTTATATGTTTTCTTTTTTTGTGAAGAAGGACCTTTATATGTTCAAAAGTCATTATAAGTCACTTTTGTTGTAAGGAGGGACTTTGACGTCGAAATATGACCGTTGACTTTACTTTATTGGTCTTGTTTTAAAAAGATCCTTTCATTTTTTCCCCATGTTTTCACTTTCTCTCTCTTTCTATCCCCAAATTTTCTTTCAAAATTTGTTTCTTTACTTAAAGTCATGGGAAAAAAGAAGGAAAATGCATTTATTAAACATTACGTGCATTTCACATGATGGTCAACGTCAAAAAGTGAAGTTAGCAACCATCTTCAGATATCAAGGTCCCTCTTCACAATAAAAGTGAGTTATGAGGACCCTTTTCACCACTTTAAACATATAATGTCATTCATCACAAAACAGTGAATATATTAATATCTTTTGGACAAAATTTCATTATTGTAAATTCAATCAGTTTAGTTAAGCTCAATTCAGTAAATATGAATAGATCCCAAGTAGATGTCCAAAAAATGAAAAAAAAATTAAGCTCGAGCTCTTCAAGCCTATTCTGATTGAATGAATTGAGTTGAATTGAACTGAACTTATTGAAGATGAGCTGATCTAAACTGAATTGAATATTTTATAAAAGAGGGATTTAAGAACTGAACTGAATTAAAATAAACTAAACTGAATTGATTAGAGCTGAGTTGAATTGAACTGAAAATAAGCCGAAGAAAACAAACTCTTCATGTCTCGTCTCATTAACACCCATACGAGCTAACGACTACCGAGTTACCAACACATTTTCCTAGTTTCCTACCGAGGAGAAACAAAGAAGGCGAAAGAACAGAGAGGAAAAACACAACATCATATTGCTCCTTGAAATTGGAATCTTTGGATCTTCCTTGTTTAATTTTCTCTTTCCTCTCATTAATTTAATTTGTTTGTTGCCGTTATACCTTTTACTCTACTAACTCCTACTCTCCCATTTGGTGGGTCTCACTCATTTTCTCTCTCCATTGAAGTAGTAGCAAGCTCTACTTTTCTCTGCTCAAACTCCCTTTTAATGCTTCTTTTACCCATTAATTTCCTCCATACTTTTCCTTAGGAAAAAAAAAAGGAATCTTTTTGAGCTGTCAAAAAAGTAAATTTTTATTAGTCTAAGGATTTCCCAGAAGTTAGATCTTTTTTAATTTTTCCCGGAAAAAATTATGCTAATTTGAGCATGATTACAGTAGAGTTTTGAGAATTTTAATTGGGTTTTTTTTTTTAAAAAATTATTATTTTATTTTCTCTCTTCAGATTTTGGGTTAGTTTAATTGATTAATTGTTCTTCATGAAGCTAATGAAGTCCAGTACTCGCCTTGATTCTATTGTCTTCCAGCTCACACCCACTAGAACCAGGTGAATTTTTTCACTTGCAATTTCTTCCTAATTATCTTGTTTTTAATTTAATTTTTTTGGGTGTTTTTGCATTGCTTTACTTGAATATAGGGAAACTTGCTTATTTTATATTTGTCCCAGTTTTTTCGTGGGTTAATTTTTAAAATTTTGATTCTTTAATTTTGTTGAATTATTGGTTGAAATGGGTAATTTCTATTTGTATTAAAATATTTACATGAGGTTTGTTATAATTCTGAAGTATGAATTGGGTCAACAAAATTATTGTGAAAATTTATGTTGCCTTTACTTTGTTTTGGAAATAATAATCATGTTGCCTAAATTGGCACTAAATATTAAAATAAAATTTTCAGTATATTATTGTGAAAGTATTTAGTATATTTATTGTATACCAAATACGTTAGATTAAACTTGTGCTACCAAATTCTCCAGTCTTGAATTTTGATAACTTAGAAATATTACCTACCGGTATTTGAAATGTCTTGTTGATTTATGTTAATTTGGGTATTTTGCAAATTTGCAAAGAGGTGAATGTGGATAGGTCTCTATGAAATTGTAAATATTGATTGTATGCTTGTGGATGACATTAAGATATGTATTAGAGTTGCAGTTATAACCGAGTAGTTGTTTTGGCAGTCCAAATTTTGTTACACATTGTCTCAATCTTTCATGGTAGGATTAGAAATGGCTTCATTGCTGCAATAATTGGACCACACACGCTCACACAGTTGCTTACTCTTAGTTGGGTGTTTTTGGAAATTCAATCATAACTTCATAAGCCATCCCTATATGTATAAAAAAATAAATAAATTTGGACATCCCAAATTAGTCAATGCGATTAAAATTTTCTAATGAAGAGAGTTAGTTAAATCTAGTTTTGCTCTTGGGTTAATACCAAATGCGATGTTCTGGCCGATAAGTATTCAATCTGGCAACTGATATTCTGAGGAAGTCAATCTTATTGCTGCTCTTTCATCAGGTGTGACCTAGTGATAAATGCTAACGGGAAAAGTGAGAAGATTGCATCTGGTTTGCTGAAACCTTTCTTGGCTCATTTGAAGGCAGCTGAGGAGCAGATAGGGAAGGGAGGATATTCTATTGTCCTTGAACCAAAGAATGGAAGTGATGCAGCATGGTTTACGAAGGGAACAGTGGAAAGGTTTTGTTGATTCTAAAACTGTCTACTGTTGATTCCATGTCACTTTTATTTATTATTTTGCCTGGCAGTTAATATTATTTCATTATCCATTTTCTTTTCCAAGTATATGATTTTATATCCTTGTATATAGGTTTGTTCGTTTTGTGAGTAGTCCAGAGATCCTTGAGCGAGTCTACACTATAGAATCAGAAATCTTACAGATTGATAAAGCAATTTCCCTTCAGAACAGCAATGATAATGGGTTGCACAATGTAAGTACACACATGTCAAATGTACAATCTATAAAGATTACCTTGTGTGACAGCTGCTAACTTAGCTTAGATAAATTTTGTGATTGCATTTTATTAATTATCTTGTGTTTGTCAGGTTGAAGGCCTTCCAGCAAAATCTGAGGAAAGGCTTGAAGGTACCTCAAAAAAATTGATAAAAATTATCTTCTTTTTTGTTCTACTACAAACTATCATCTGCTTCAAATATAAAATTTGCATTTGGTTTTTTTACTGTTTCCTTTCTGATGGCTATATACAGAGTAATTATAACAGAGCATTTAATTGCAAATTAAGGACTATTTCAAGTGCTTTAAGATTTACTGTGATTTTATAACGACTTTTGACATTGAACAGGCACCAAACCTGCGCCAGGCTGTAATGAAGAGAATGCAATTGTGCTTTACCAGGTAACTTTGGCGTGTGTGTTTTTTTTATAAACAAAGTAGAATTTAAACTGGCCACTGGGTTAAAAAAAGAAAATGGTTAATCTTTTTGTATTGCAGCCCCCCAGCAATCAATCAGAGGAAAATGCATCTAGTGTACAGGAGAATTCAAAGTAAGCACTTCTGTGGTTTTACTGAGCTTAAATAAGTGTAAAAATTAGCTTTGTAGATCTAATAGTTGAAATGCTTTATCAGAGTTCAACTTGTACAAGTTCTTGAGACACGTAAATCTGTGCTACAAAAAGAACAAGGCATGGCTTTTGCACGTGCTGTTGCTGCTGGCTTTGAGATTGATAACATAGCTGCACTGCTTGCTTTTGCTGAATGTTTTGGGGCATCACGAATGATGTAAGCTTCTAACCAAACAGTGTGGTGTAAAACTGTAAACTGTGTAGTGATTAAGCATGTATCATTTTTTCATGTGCTTTGGCAACTTTTGCGTTTAGGGATACTGTTTTACTAATGAGTGATTTTCATGCCACAGGGATGCATGCAAAAAGTTTTTGGACTTATGGAAGGCAAAGCATGAAAGTGGTCAGTGGGTTGAAGTTGAAGCAGCTGATGCAATGTCATGCCGGCCAGACATGCCTTCTACAAATGCAGCAGGTATTGTGTTTCTGAGCCCAAGCGAACAGAAGGAATTCAAGGAATCAAGCCCGCAGGGTGAGGAAAAGAAGGGAGTATCATGTGTGGCTAATACAGGTGGGTTATTAAATCTTCCTTGTGATTTTTGTAACATTTATCATTCAATAGTAGGCTATCAGCAAACTTAGACTGCACATAGTTCATTGTGGTTTTATTAATTTATTGGTTCAAGGTTTTAACCTGATTTGGTTTGATCAGATGAACTTTTAGGATCCTTGTCCTGCCTAGATTCTATAACTTGGTAAACTTTGTCTATACTATAATTGGGCTGTTCTTAGATAATCTCATACAGAAATAGTGTGGACTGACACTTTGAGTTGCTTGAAAAATAAACTGTTCAAGTATTTAGACTGCACATAGTTCATTGTGGTTTTATTAATTTATTGGTTCAAGGTTTTAACCTTATTTGGTTTGATCACATGAACTTTTAGGATCCTATTCCTGCCTAGATTCTATAACTTGGTAAACTTTGTCTAAAATTAGGCTGTTCTTAGATAAATCTCATATAGAAATAGTGTGGACTGACACTTTGAGTTGCTTGAAAAACAAACTGTTCAAGTATACCAATTCATTTTTGGGATGACTTGCTTGAAGTTAATCGGGGGCCTTGGTAGCCCGCTTGTTCTCGTCTGTCAAATTTCCTAGCCACTTTCAATCAAGTTTCAGAAATAAGCTCTGTTTTTTTAAAAAATAATCTGGTTTATTATTCAAACATCTAAAATCAATTAGGGGGTGTTTGGCTCATTATATTGGAATGGATTAGTATGGAATCTCATACTAGAGAGGATGGATTCTAAAACCCATACTAGTCTAAAGTTGTTTGGTTTTATTGTTGGAATGATTTATATACTTCATTAATAGAATGGATTTTATGGGTATGGGTATGGGTATGGGGTATGGGGATTATAGACAAAGTGTATAGGATTTTATGGGTATGGGGTAGAGTTAGAACCCCTTGGGTATGAGATTCCATAATTAAAAAGCTCAACCAAACAAAAAAAATAGATGGAATGGATTCCAACCCCATTTCAACCCATTCCAAATGATCCAATCAAAAAACCCCTTAGATGGGCCTTCATATAATTATATGTTTGATTTTATATGTTGTGAATATCCTACCCTTTTTGGGCTGAAATCGTGCCGGCTGCTGAATGAATGTAAGAATAGCTTGTATGTCTTCTGAAGTATGCGCACTATTCATTGCCATATTCCATGTTGGTAAATGGTAGTGTTACACTCTATTTATTTTTTTGGAGCAGAAACTTGTGTTGGTGTGATAGGTGTCTGGATGTTTCTTACTGCTAGTTTCTTCTTCAAAGTAGTTTCATCATGTTCCTTGGTAGCCTAGATGTTTCTCTTTCCATGATTTCTTAAAATATGCCCACTTATACCTAATATTTTAGCAGATCAAGTACATTTGAACCCACATGAGTACAGCCCTGGCCAGTTCCCACATCCTATGTACCCACCCTGGCAAATGCATCCTCAAGCAAATGGCATGCCAGTTTTTCAACCATATCCCATGCAGGGTATGCCTTACTATCAGAACTTTATGGGGCAGAGCCCTTATTTCCAGCCACCTTATTCGCCACATGATGATTCAAGATTACATTCTGATCGGAAAACAAGACAGAGAAGGCATTCAATGGATGGCCGAGACATGAGTGCTGAATTTGAAACTCAAGAGATAGATGCTTCCGGAAAAATGCATGATGATGTTACAGATGATGAAGATTTAACGAGTACAAAACCCAAGAATAAAGGTAGCAAGACTTCCAGAAAGAAAACTGTTGTAATCCGGAACCTTAACTATATTACTTCTACGAAGCAAGGCTCTTCAGATAGTAGTGATCCACAATCTTGTTCAGATTCTGGAACTGATGATGAGGGGCAAATGAAGGTTGATGAAACCAAAAAATTGAAAAAGAAAGGAGTCTATTTGAAGTCGGATGATCCACGAAAAGAAAGAGTATCTGGACAGGCAGGAGATGATGGACACTGGCAAGCTTTCCAGAACTTCTTACTAACGGATGCTGATGAAAATAATAATTCTGCAAGGAGTAGCATGTTCGCAATGGAAGGTAATGTTCAAGGAAGAAAGCAACAATCTTCTATCAAGGATGACTCGTCTGCTCTTGGAATGCATAACATCGGTAAAAATCATGATGTAGATATGGGTGAAAGTGTTGACATTGCTGGAGATGCAACCTGCTTGCGGAAACCTATGGATGATCAAATGCTGAGCTATGGTCAAGATCCAAACTTAAGGCATAATAGCAAAAGAGATCTGCAATTTATGGAATCAGGGGGCCGGAGTGGTGGTCATGGGAGATCTATGGATACGAACCTGGAATATGTGCTCAATAAACAAGAAAAGCTGACAGCTATGTGGGACCCTTCCCTAGATCCTGTCATCAGAAATGGGTTTCAAGGTCCATCTCATACCAATAATAAGGGCTCATCACATGGCATGCCGGATGAGTCTTTCATGGTCTTGCAAAGAGCAGGTTCGCTAGATCAAGTTACAGGTGATGGAAGGACAGCTATGGATATGGATTGTGAGCTCCCTTCGGTGCTTCACAAGACAGATGACCACACTTACGAGCCAAATGTTTTAAATTTAATGCCTAATCGTGCGACGGAGGATCAGCCTAATGGTTATGACCCAGCTATGTACTGTGAGATGCAGGCTCAAATTAAAGATGCTGCCAAACTGAGTGGTAAGAAGGAAGTTGCTATGGATGCCAAAGGAGGGTCAAGGAAGGCAGTCAAAGATCAAAAGTTAAAGGCTGAGAGAAGAACCTCAGTGGGTACAAGAAGAGAAAAACTTACTAAGTTGAGCCCTGCTGAAGATGCACGAGCACGCGCAGAAAAACTACGAGCTTATAAGGCTGATCTGCAAAAGCTAAAGAAGGAAAAGGTACAGTTTTTCTCCTTGCAGGCCTGAGCTGTCTATTGATCAAACGATTGCCCTTGATTTGTACTGTTTCATGTCAGTGTCTAGGATCCTCATTGCAATACCCCTCTGTCTCTGTCTCTGTGTGTGTGTGTGTGTTTTCCCTAGATTTGTGGTGAAATCCTTTATTTTAGACAATATAACAGAATAGCTTTCTATGTTTATTTTTAAAGAACTAAAAATATTGCATTCTCTGGATTTTCTAGGGCATTTTCTTTACGTTGTGCCAAAGTCCTTTAGCTTGTTGATAATTCTGTAATGTTTCATTAATACTGTATTTTGTGATAAAGGAAACCAGTAAAAGGACTAAAAGCTGCCTTTAAAAGAACCTTTTTGCTCTTAATCTATTTTCAGGAAGAAGAACAAATGAAAAGATTAGAAGCATTAAAGTTAGAGAGGCAAAAGAGAATTGCTGCTAAAAGTGGCGCCAATACTGCTCAGTCAACGTTGCCATCACAACAGGTGAAAAAACACATGCCCAAGCTTTCTCCTGTCTCTCAGAAAGGCTCAAAATTTAGTGACACGGAGCCTGGGTCAAGCTCACCATTACAGAGATCCACATTAAGATTTATATCCAAGGTTTCTCCTGATACCAGTAAATCTTCCAAGTCAGGGAGATTAAATAATGTAAGTAGTACCAGTACAAATAGGCTAACTAGGTCAGCTTCATCACTGAGGTCAAGAAAGGCAGAGAGTACTGGTGCTACACCAGATTCAATGGCAGCAGTATCCAGGATCAGAAGATTATCTGATCCAAAAGTCACAGTCCATCGCATATCCTCAGGAAAGGCTGGAAGTGCTGAAGTAGTTGCTAGATATAAAACACCTGAAAAAAAGATGCCTGCCACTTCCATTGAAGACAAAGAAAAGTCTTCCGCTCGTCCAGAATTGAAGGTTAGAGCATCCAAAGCATCCACAGTAACTGCCCAAAGAAAACCTACTAAAGAGATGTCCCAGAAGTCAAATGACAAAACACATTCTAGTGGTCTTGCAAGTGCTAAAGAGATGTCCCAGAAGTCAAATGACAAGACACATTCTAGTGGTCTTGCAAGTGCTAAGGTGAATAGAGACAGTGCCAAAATTCCACTTCATAGGGATGATGACAATACAGTAGTTGAAAAGACAGTTGTAATGCTTGAATGTGAGAAACCTTCTGCACCCATCACCCACGCACCTGAAGACGGTATGAGCGGCCAAACAATGCAATCTCATGCCTACAATCAAGTTGGTAAAGCAGAGGAAGATGCAGCTGTCCCTTTACCAGCTTCACCTATTAATGTGAAAGAAGTTGACCGAGAAACATCAAATTGTTCTGTTAAGGAGCAATCTCATACCTTCTTGGATGAGGTAATTTAAAAGAAAATCCCTTTTAAGATGTTGATCTGTACATGCTGAGTAAATATTGGATTGTCATTTGTTGTTGCGTTGAATTTTTTTCTCTTTCTTATTTAATATAATGTTTTCGCTTACATGCCTACATCAATGTTCTTTGATTTCCTTACACCTTTACAAGAGATGATATGACATTCTTAAGATTCTTTTATATTAATTCTTCTCCCTCCCCCCCCCCCCCTCCTCCTCTCTCTTTTTAAAGTGAGTGTTAATCCTTAGTTAGCTGCCTCGTTTGTATATATAACATTCTCTGCTGACAGACAGAAAAGGTGTCACAAGATTTGTCCCAAGTTGACACTCGCAAAAAACCATACCAGCCACCCTATGCCCGGGTCCCCTCCCTGGAGGATCCCTGCATGTCTGAGTCGATATATGGGAAGGCACCACCAACAAGCATAGAAATGGAAGGGAAAGCCATGCAGACAACAAAAGTACATGTATCTGATGCTCATAAGCCAGGACTTGTTTCATCAGAAGCTGATTCAGGGAAATCGTCAAAAGGTTTTAAAAGGCTGTTGATGTTTGGAAAGAAGAACTCGACCACAAGTGAACGTAATATCGAGTCAGATAAAGTAACTCTTGATGGCTCTGCAGCTGATGATAGTGCATTGAATGGTTCTTCTAGTGAAGGTATATTCAAGTCTTACCTTGATGGAATGCAGTGGTCTTGATGATAATTGTATTTACTTTTGCGGTCATATCTTTGCCACTGAAATGATTAATAGGCAAAACTCTAGGTATTATAGCTACAAGCCTACAACATCAATTGTGAATATTGGAAAGTAGCTGGTGATTTTTTTTTTTTTTTTTTTTTTTTTTTTTTTTTTTTTTTTGTGAAATATTTTGGTTATGAAATATTCATTTGGTGTAGTATACTTTCAAGGATTGACTTAAGGGCATAAGGCCATAATTAACCAAAAATAACAGAAGCAGCACGCGTCACTACATCAGTATATGTAGTCTAGCCCTATGTCAAACATGCATTTATATAATTCGTCTTCTGCTGCTTGATTTTTACTTCCTGACCTCTATACTTCCACTTATTATTATTCAGGGTGTCCACAGTGTGAACATATCCCCTGTTCCCACTAACCTTTATTCTCTTATTGTGAGCAGCTTTTACCGTGAAGAATCTTCTGATTCAAGAGGAGAGCTCAAGTGCTGGTAATACTCCAAAGAAGTGTAAGCACTTGTCTTTCATCGAGTTTATCCTTCATTATTACTTAGATTATATGTTCTTGAAGTTAAACTCTGGTTTCTCAATTGCAGCTTCTCGGCCATTCTCGTTGCTGTCTCATTTCCGAAGTAAGAATAGCGAAAAGAAGTTGGCCACATGAAAAGGATGTTGATCAATTCTTGGGATGAAAGTCATGATTTTGTTCACTTAATGATTCTTCACCGTGAGAAATCACAGGCCTTTGTCGGAAATGTTAATGCCCGAGCTTGTAAAGTTCACAATCTGTTGCATGTATTGCTTTGCGCCTTCGCCCAATGTATTGCGACATGTAGGTATCTTGTTGTAAAGCCTTGATAACTATACATCTTGAATATGAATGTACAAACCAAACCTAGTTGATCATGGTAATTTCAGAGGAAAGTATATTATTATTTGCCTATTATATTGAACCAGTGAAAGAAGCCCTGATTCTGAAGGGTACAGCTTAGATCTTTTCTTTCGTGGCACAGTACTTAGGACTTGTTCTCTTCACCTGCTTTGCACTCAATTGGTTTTACTTTTTTAAACTGTTCTTAATCAAAATAGTTCATGATTGTTATGGCAAATTGAAATCTTGGTTTCCTTATCTTATTATATGAGATTTAAGAGAAAAACCACGGTTCACTGCTTATACAGTTTATACATGTGCTCTTCAATCTACCTCTAGTTACAGACTTACAGTTAATCACCTGATGTGATCGTATATCAAAAGGCATTAAATATGTACCCTGTGGCCTGTTCTAATCAAAACGAATAACTACGCAAGAAATATTGCTCCTGCTCATTCTCATAGACGCTTCCCTTGCTAAGCACTCGGCAGCTTCTTGAGGATCATCTATGTGCCTGATGAGGTCCACTGCCTCTTGATTCCTCATTACCTGATAGGCAAGGGTAAATTTCAGGCAGAGAACTTTTGCAGACAATAGTTTTACATTTCACAAACACTATGGTCATATTTATGTAAGAGTATAATGATATAATGTTACCTCAAAAATACCATTACTTGCTAAGATAATAAATTCAGTTTCTGAATCTATTCTTTCAGAAGCAGCAATCAATTCTAAACTATCTGTCTGTTTTCTGCTTGATTCACTCCCTGTATGACATGCTTGTATGCGTACTCTTGGAATGCGCATTGCCCCTGTTATGCAGCCATGGAAGTAGACAAGTAATGTCATCAACCTTCTCCAACTGTTCATCACCAAAAAAATAGTTTCCAAGTTCCACATACAAACAACAAGATAGAATTGAAGTAGACAAGTAGTTCATACCTGAAATCAGCCGGTGAGGCCAATGCCTTTTTCCGGTATACTGATGTGTAACCCGCAACTGATGAGCCATACCATCTCTGCACACAATAGCTCTATAACCACCCATCTGCGCCATCACAATCTTCTCCCCATTGATAATCATTGCAGATGCAGATTTTACCATCTTCTCCGGTTTATCACTCTCAAGCTTCGCTCTTGCATCAAGGTAAGCCTTTCTCATTGTGTCTTTGCTAGCTTTGACCACCAGAGACTATAGTTCAACATCAATATAATCTTGTCAAACACTTGATCACGGTACATAACTTACTGCAAGTAAGTTTGTCTCATAAACAACATCAGGAATCAACTAGGAGTTCCTCGAATGCTCTCATGCTAACACAGTAAACTACGCCTCAAATCATTACACACATGACACAGTCAAAAGAGTCTCACATAGCAAAGGTATAACTGAAAATTGATACATGATCATACCTCCTTAAATTTCCTGTCAAAAAAATTTGACTGCAAGTACCTGCTGATGCCATCACCAATACTAGCATCCGAAACACCATAAAACCACAACTCAAGACCCTCCTTTTCTTCTCTTTGCACAACTACATTGTCTAGCTTCTCTACTTCATCCTCTTCTCCTCCCCACGACCGAGCCTCGAGAATATGATACCCGTGTGAGATTGGTGTCATCCATGATGGCTTCTTCACATTCTTAGACCCTTTTACATTAGCACCCCCATCAACATCATCAGACCCCTTAAGCAGACTCTTCCACCTGAAAACCTGCACCAATTTAACCAAAATGTGTAATTCAACATTGATCTTCATGCAAAATATTGGATTGTTAAATTAATTACCAACTTTTCTATTAAAAAAAAAATTTCAATTAATCTCATCTCCCTACATACTTGACTTCTATTTGACTTTTATGACTTTTTCACGTGATCAAACAACCAAAAAATATTTGGTCGACATATTATTAAAAATGAAATAACTAGTTTGAGAAGTTTTTTCAGAATGGCTTTTGCATAATAACAACTACAGAGACACAACAGACAACTAATTTTACCGAACATTAATGTAATTACGTAAATGACTAATGCTAACCCAGAACAATCATAGTTTTCATTGCATACAATTACACATCAAATCATATCTTCTAGTAAAAAAAAAAAAATCATTAGAAAATTTAATGGAAACATGAACAAATGAAAAATAAAATACCTGTAATTTAGAATATATGTTTTTGAGTTTCATGGTAGAAACTAGGAAGAGTTTGAATGCTTTGTGTAAATGGGTAGAAGACTAGAACATTTGATGTGGGAGAAGAAAGAGAAAAATTAGCTTAAAAATGAATTAACAGAGGATTTAGGAATTAGGCAGATTTCTACTTCCCTTGTTAACGTGAAAATTGTGAAAGTTTATAATAAAGTCTAATGTTTTTATAACCTATTGTTTAAGCAATGTTTAAGTGCTTTTAATGTGGCATGTTTATTGCAGGAAATCATACAATAATAATTTTATTAAAGGGAGTAATAAGGCTATTCTTTCCTTTTTCATTTGAAATGAATTACTCATTTACTTGTTACTTAAAATATGAAGGCAACTTTAATTTAATTTTCATTTTTTTTTATTGCTTGTATTTAAATTAAGCTATAAAGGGCAGTGAATCAGCTTTCATAACCATGATTTTATTTCTACTAATTTGTTACCCGAAAATAGGAAGATTTAGATTTTTGGGAGATATAAATCAATAAATTCACAATAATTCTTCTTTTTTACGTATTGATTTTAGCTGCTATTCATTTTGACCTTTGATATGTTATACACTTTTAAAACATAAAAAATTAATTCGTTGTTGTGAGATCTTGTTAACATTGTCTTATAATATCAACAACTTCGTATTTATAGTTTTTAAAGTTAGTATCAATCGAAGCTATATTGACAAATGATGTACTCCGAAGTCAATAGAGTACGGCAAAAATATTATAAGTCGCTAGGATTTAATTACACTAGTAGCAAAAATTTTGGTTGAAATTGGAGAGTTAGCATAAAGTTAGAAAAATAGTAGCCGAAAAATGCTTTTAATGTGGTATTATTAGGTGATACTTTAGATGCATTTAATTTTAGGTATGTTAAGTTAAATTAATTGAAAACATTTTTTTTTTCCAAAAAAAAAAAAAAAAAAAAAAAAACAAGTGTTTTCTCGTCTTCAAGACCAAATACGATTCAAAGAGTTCGATTTTTGAGTTAACTAGTAAGAGCTTGTTTCGATTTACTGAAAACAACTTAATTAATTGGAGTTAAACTGAATTGATTGGAGCTAAACTGAACTGATTGGAGCTAAACTGAACTAATGAAATGAAGCTAAACAGAACAAGCCCTAAGTCTTGACAATGGTGTTCAAATCCCAAAATAAAATCTCATTTTCATTGCTCTCCCTTATCATCCAAAAGGATGTTTTAGCTTTTCTCACTCCAAAAAAAAAAAAAAAAAAAAAAAAAAAAAAAAAAAAAAAAAAAACTCGTTTTCATAATTTGACAGAAGGTTCAGAAAAAACTACCCCTAATTTAAACATGAAAAGAATCAGAAATCTTTGATAAAATCACAAGATGGTCAACAAGAAGCAAACTTGTTAAAATATAAACATACAGATCCGAAATTCAGTACATAGGCAACTATCAATGTAGCTAACCAAGGTTGAAAAAGGGAAGATACGAAACCACAGAGAAAGATATATTCATATGCTTACTTGTATACGAAGAATACAAGTAACCGGCAGTGTGAATAAGAGAGATATATTCATATGTTTACTTGTATACGAAGAATACAAGTAACCGGCAGTAACCGGCAGGACTTGAACGTAATCACATCACAACGAATCAAGCCTACCTAAAATGGCACTTGACGAGTAACCCAAATATGAAAATGTTAACAATAGCATGTTCTTGAGCTCTACAACTAAAAGTAATGCCAAACTAGCTGGGGTACACATAGATTAACAGTGTCAAATAGCCAACCTCTCTAATAAGACCAACTAGTGAACTGAACCTATATGCAAGCCAAAATCACTCAGCACAGGAGCAGCCACCCCTGCTAGTTGTCCTAACACAGCCTCAAGTCTGCATGTCTGATCCATATAACACGTAAAGAGAAACCAATAAAGTTGATACCACAGAAAAAGTAACAGAAAATAACATGAAGTCGAGATTCTAGAAACTCTTCCAAACAGCAGATTTCTAAGTTCATTACTCAGGCAAAAAGTATTCGTTACAAAACCAAGACAGAAGAAATGAAATGACATTGCTATCAAGTAGGTACTTCACAAAATATAAAGTCGATCAAAATTTTCTAAATCTTAAATATCAAAACGCAATGAACCAGAGATAACAAAATCTTGATTCCTAACATTTTATGCAGCTGCTTTCTTCAACTTTGCAAGCTCCTGCCTAACTGAGCCAGCTTTCTGTACAAGTACAACAGAATGACAGATAATCAGTAAACCAGTCCACAGACCTTAATCTTGGCAACATTGGGATTGTAGGATGGATAGAAACACAAACCTTAATCTTGGCCAACATGATCTTGAATCTGTCAAAGTCGTTAAGACCAGCTCTTCTCTTCTGGACGATCAACTTCCTACCCCATGAACTGTTCTCCCACTTGTTCTTAACATCTGCAATATCAATCCAATTAAATCACAACGCATACGAAAGGCATTAGTGGCAAAACACCAAAATGAGACCAAAGAAACCCTACCCGCAGCCTCCATAGCTTCAACCAAGGCTTTCTTCTTTGGCGACTTCTCAATCTCAACCTTAATATCAGTCAAAGAGAGCCTCTTCAAGTTCATTTGACCCCTGACCATATCAGGTGCATCAACTAGAACCTATAAGCAAAATTCCAAACACATTAAGACTAGAACAAACCTCCATTCAAGCCTCGACCAAAACCCAAACCATAATTGAGCATATACAACACACAAGATATACTTTGCAAAGAGTTGAGCATAGAGGGTTCCAATCGAATCCATTATGTAATGTTCAGTCATTTATGGGTGCATATGACCATGGGATAAAAACATTGCATCTAATGTTAAATCATTTGCGGGTGCACGGGATAGATTAGGCTACTCTACAATTATAATTCTATTTATGGGTACAGTTGAAAGTTGAAACATCGTGCCCATGTTATATGTGCCAAGAACTCGAATACCCGAGGTTAAATAGAGCTCAAGCGGGCAATGCAGCCAAAATACAGTCTCTAAACATACAATTCACAGCAACACTCCATATCAGTGTATTGAGTACACTGAATACTCGAGCATGGACAAGCAAAGCGGCTAAAGGAATGAACTCCTACATACTTCCATTAGTCATATACAAGTAGTTCATGAATATACCCAGTAAAAGATAAAGTCTTGCTAAAACAACTATCAAAAACACAAGATTTGGGAATGTTTGCAATCAACAAATAGCCAATAAAAAGCACAAATACAAGCAAATTAATATCATTAACAAATCAAAAAAATATATAACAACGACAAAAATTCAACATTCGACATTTCCAATTGCAGAATCAAAACTCAACCCAATACCAAATTCAACAAATAAACTGCAAATCAAAAACCCTAATAAAAAAGGGAAAATGGAAAAAAGGGAATTACTCTGTTCTGATCAAGAACATCGACAATGACGACAAGTCGGCCATATTCTTTTCCGTAGTTAACAAGAGCAACTCTTCCGATCTCAACGTATCTCTTGAAAGGCTGCAAAAATCATCAGAAAATCAGGTCAATACATAAACAAATTCAAGGTAAATGTTAAACATCCATGGAAATTAGTAGGAAGGAGGAGAGAGAAAGTACCATTTTGGATTGAGTTTTGGGTTTCTCTGAAAATGGAGTAGCGAAAGAGATGAAGGGAGGCAAGTGAAAGTGGTTTTATGGGTCTAGGGTTTTTTAGGGTTTTATACTTTCACAATTGCAAAACCATCACTTTTGGAGTATGGGTTTGGGTCGGGTGGATAGGTTGTTCGGAAGGTCGAAATGGGTCTGTTGTCATTTCTTTTGAAGGGGTATATTGGTCAATTAGATTACTTTTACTTTTTTTTTTGAATAGCAGATTACTTTTACTTCGTACTCTCTCCGTTCTTTTATTTTTGCCCCATTGTAATTTTTTGGGTCAAACTTTGACTACTATAATTTACCATTAATTTATAAAATATAGTTATGAATATAATTTTTACGTGTATAGAAATAAAAATATAGACGTTTTAAGACGCGTCTTGGATATTGCGCACAGTCAAATGGGGTAATAAAATAGGGACAGAGGGAGTATGAATGGAGATCGTTACGTTGGTGGTGCTAGACAGCTAGAGCAGTCAATGCCTAAAAAGAAAAAAAAAGGAAAAATTGCCCGGAATAATCTCACCTTTGGCCCGTCCGCCAAAAATAATCGCACCTTTGGATTAATTTTAAATAATCCGACCTTTATATCCACTTCGCTCCTAATAGTCCCAACCGGTCAACTAACCTGTTATCACAAGTCGTCCTGACACGTGTCGGCCTACGATTGGTCAAACAAATTAAAATAAAAAATTAACAAAAGTTTTTTTTTTTAAAAAAAAAAACAAGAAAAAATTAATTAATTATTTCAAAAACCTCGACCAGCCACAACCACCCTCCCCGCCGGCGCAGCTACCGGATTCCATTGTCCCACACCACCGACGACCGCCCAAGAAGCTCTCCCACAGCGCCGACCACCTAGAAGCGTTCTCGCAGCGCCGACGCCCTCCCTCCCCATCCCACGAACCTCCCTCCACACCGCCACGAAACCCTGTCCCCAACCCTCGAAATCCTTTCTCAGTCCCGATCCCAGCCCCCTTCCCTTCCCCAATCCCTTTTCCGGCTACCTCCCCTTCCCCACGCTCCGATTTCGACCCATATCCCCTTCCAACTTGGCGATTTTGGCCCTCCTCTTCACACACCTTGATTTCGTTAATGGCTGTGGTGGGTAAAAGGGTAGGGGAGGGTTGGAGAGCAGCTCCGAGTAAGAGAACGGCGCGGCGAAGCTTGCTACTCTAGGCCTCGTCTGCTGGCTGGTGGTAGGTGTGGCAAGGTGGCTGAGGTCGCGGTGGGGCTAGGGTTTGGGGTTAATTTTAGTTTTTTCTTTAAAGTAAAAAAAAAAATAAAATTAATTAATTAGTGTTAATTATTAATAATCATTTTTTAAAACAAAATTAAAATAAAAAATTATTTTTTGACCAATCACGTCATGACACGTGTGTAAATTAAAATTAATTAAAAAAAAATTACCTACTTAACCGGTTACAGGTCACTAGGAACTAGTAGGAGCGAAGGTATTTATCTATCTATTAACTATTAGTAAAACAAAAGATACCGACGTCATCATTGCCCACGTGTCGCTCTCTCAATAAAAATCTCCCCGCCTAAGTGCAATGATGATGTTATTTTTTTTTTAGAGCTATCATATTTAACATTTTTAAAATTTAAATAATATTGGAAACTTCTACATCTATTAACTACGGATTATTACTAAAACAAATGATGTTGACGTCATCCTTCATTGCCAACGTGTCGCTATCTCAATAAAAATTTTCCCGCCTAAGTGATGATGTCATTTTTTAATAGTTATTTGAAGCTTCTACATTACAACTAAAACCTAACAATTTATCGTTGGAATTAAAATTGAAACAATTTTAAATAGCCCACTAATAAATAACCTCCTACATTGAACTATGAATTAGACAACTTTGAACCGATATTATATCATAATTTTGTTGAAAATAAAAAATTTTAAAATTACAAAATATACATAGTTATTATTTATATTCATCTATAATAGCGATTTATTTTTAAAATGTACAAATTAAAAATAAAATTAATATAAATCGTGCATCGCACGGGTTCTAACCTAGTGATCTTATAAAATAAAAATATTTATAAGGAGATTTCTCAAAAAAAAAAAAAAAATAGTGCTTTGATAAAGAGGTTTCTCACAAAAATTTTCTTAAAGAATTTTTTTAAGTAATCACCCCTAAGATCACACTTTGTTGAAAACTATACTTGTCATGGGTGATGGAGCGAGGGTGAATTTTAGGTTGTACTCATCTCATCTCATCCCGTCCCGCCCAACTTCGTATCCGCCATATCCCCACCTCATACCCGCATCTATATATCTTTTCAAAAAAAATAAAAAATTATATACTTTTTTTAGGGGACAAAATTATACACTTTTATACAATTTTATAAACTAACTATGTAAAATAAAATATTAATTATAATATTTCATAATACACCTAGGTCCTATTATCTTCACCTTATTTTTGCTGAATTGAAATTATTTTTATGAAAAAAAATAATATTTGCTATACTTAAATTATTTTTCCTGAACTTAAATTAATTTTGATGAACTGAAATTATTTTTGCTGAACAGGGCCTTATATATATTACAAAACAAAAAAGTGTGTAATATTAAAAATGTTTTTCATTTTTCATTTTTATTTTTTTTAATGTAATCTATATTACTGTAATTGTACTGTTTAGGATTGTGGGTCTTGGGTAGGGATTAGACGGGTTTTTGGAGGAAATTAGGTTGGGTGGATATCCAAGTGGGGTAAGGGCGGGGATGGTTTTGGAATTGTATAGTACCTGTCAGGCAGAGATGGGAAAAGATGGGGAAGGAAATATTAGGTGGGGATGGGGATGGGAAGACCAACATCCGCCTTGTCCTGACCTGCCCCATTGAAATCCCTAACCATGCCGCTTCTCATATTCCGACTTGAGGCCCACATAACGGCTACTTTATGCTTTTTATAGTCTTTGGCATGATTTTTTTCCTCCTTTTCAGTTGAAACAGCTACGCATTAATTAAAAATGGGTCTTTGATGTTTGATGATAGAAGTATTTGGTGTTCGTCTTATCGTAAATTTTTAGTTTGTTTTAATTTTATTGAAATATTGTAATTTGATTCTATGATGAAGTTTTATGCGATCAGAATGATCATCAAAATTTCATGGGTGTATTTTGTAGTGATATTTGTTGAGAATGGAAAATATAACATTAATTATCTAATTTTAATTTCAAGAAACAATAACTTAATTTAACAATAACACGTGTCAATGTGATATAACTTTTTTTTTAAAACAGAGTAATATAAAATGCAGAGTATTATTATTGTATAGCCGTACTCCATATCTAATTAATTTGCGTTGGCTACAAAGAAATTAAAACTTCACTATTACTATTTACTATTACTATTACGAAATAGAAAGAATCCTAGCTTGAAAATCTAGCTACTCTTCTAAAATGCATGGCTTAGTGTAAAGAGATTCGTATCCTCAATGTCCACGAAGAATCACCCAGAAGATTAGATTAGATGCCTCATCATGCGCTCAAAATTCAACTATTTAGATTTTTAAATAATTGTCAAAGCCTAGCATGAAAGCATGCATAATAAAGCTAGGCTAACATTAATATATGTTTGGGTCCAATTTAGTCCAATTGGGCCTGGTCACTGAATGATCCAATTAAAAGCCCAAGGTTAAGGTTCAACTCTCCAAATGTGCTAAAGTCAAAAATCAACATCCTCAAAGCCATGTCAAGGTCAGCCAACGGCCCAATCAGCTTGGCCCAGCCCAACTGACTTCCGGGCCCAATCCGCCTCCTTCATTAGCCAAGGTATAAAAGCCAACAATTTGGTCAATTCTTGGTAAGACAATAAAGCCTCAAGCAACTAAACTCTTGCACAGCTTTCTCTCTCTAATATACTGACTTAAGCATCGGAGGGGCCTTCCTCGGCGTCCCCCCCGAGGCTAGTTTACGTGTATTTGTTGTGCAGGAAACCCTCGGCTCCTGCGTCGTTCGGACCGAGACCAAGTTCCCTCAAGATAAAAGGATCTTCCGAGATTCGATTGTTTTCATCCGAAACAATTTGGCGCCGTCTGTGGGGAACGCTACTAAATTTCGCGTCAGTCATCAAACACTCCGGCAGTCGCCATGACTAAGAGTGGAAAGAGTTCCAAGAAGGCTAAGAAGGGAGGAGGCCGGATTACGGTGAGGGAACGCCAGCCGGTTTATCCCTCCCCGGAGCAAGCCTCTTCCGAATCGGAGGCCCCCATTTCTCCGGAAAGGGAAGCCTCAAGAGGTCCTAGCCTCCAGGAGGAGAACACCTCGCACCACACTCGGCAGCCGGGGCCATCCCCGAGACCGAGTGGCTCAGGTGCGAGGAACTCCCCGCCGCGCCATAGCGTGCAATCCAGGTCACATCCGCGGGAGACTCCTCCCTCCGGACCCTCCACCGAGGAAGTGGCCAGAGCAGTGGCCATCTGCATGGAGTTCCTTAAAGCTCAAGGGGCTCCAATCCAGATGCCTGATGATCACCAGCCGAGAAACCTGAAAAGGAGGATCGGTCAGGATGATGGTGGACAAGTTCCACCACATAGACAACTCGGCCAGAGGTGGCGAGGGTACACCCGAAACTCCAGTAAGGAGAGGAGGAGGAACCCTCAACCCTCTGACCACTCTGAAGCTCAGAATTCCATGGGGCCCTCCAAGGACCCGGAATTCGCCCGCCAAAGCGTTCACGAACGCTTGGGTTCGAGGGAGGTGAGTGTGCATAGCCGCCTCACCTTCCCAGAGGATACCGGACCCCACCCAACCTTGTCTCAGCCGGGGACGAAAACCACTTCCACCTCTGAGAGAGGAGGGAGCGAGGTCCCTGAGGCCGGGTACAAGGGGAAGGCGGTCATGGTTCCATCGAACTCGCCCTTCCAGAAGTGGATTCTGGAAGAGCATGTGCCAACGGTCAAAATCCCGGCACATATTACTTACGATGGTACCTCAGATCCTAAGGATCACATTGCCTCTTACGAGGGGCACATGTATCTGAACCCGAGGTCTGAGGCTACCTGGTGTAAATACTTTCCTACGACCCTCAAAGGTGTTGCCCAATCCTGGATCACCAAAGGGCTCAAGGAAGGCTCCATAACCG